ACATCCAATTACAATATCATCAATGTTTTTCAAATATTATAACATTGAAATTAATATTGGAATAACTATAAATCATTCATAATAATTATTGATTGGAAATAAAAAAGCATTTTCGGAAAGAAAAAAAAACTTTTCGGAAATACTATTTTATAAATTATATTTATATATTTTTGCTAATTAATTAAAGTTGATATTATAGCGTTTATGCATGGAACCATTAAAATGGTATCGTTTCACACTTTTAAAACCATCAAAAAATTACTGTGAAATATTTTTACGATCATGTTTTCGACAATGTCGACGATGTCAAAAGAAATCAACACATCAATATTTATGCCTTCTTTGTGGACGATTGTTTAATTTTGATCAAACTTGTTATGATATACCAGGATGTTTAATTTTTGTTAGTTTTAAATTTATTTTTTTTTCTTTTTAATATTGAAATTATTGATGGTTTTATCATTGTTCTTTTTTAAATTTGAAATTATTAATAATTTTATCATTTTTCTTTTTTAAATTTGAAATTATCAATAATTTTATAATTTTTCTTCTTTAATTTGAAATTATCAACAATTTTATAATTTTTCTTCTTTAATTTGAAATTATCAATAATTTTTTCTTTTTCAATTTGAAATTATCAATGGTAAATTTTTCAAATAATAACACACATAAAAATTCTCAACAAAATATTTTGGATTAATGAGAATTTTTAAAATCTTTATCATGATAACTAGCTTACTCTTATCATGATACTCAAAAATGAATGAAATATATAAATGATAGATGTGTGCTTATCAGTATTATGGCTATTCTCTATTTATATGTACCGTATATTAAGCTACAATTAAAATTTGATTCGTAAAAATACAATTAACCTTGATTGTTTTAATGAATAAACTTGAATTTTAATATAAACTTTATAAATATTCCATAATTAAATTCAATTTCATTATAAATTAATACACATTCATTTTTCTATTCCAATCTTAAACTCTTATCATTTGAACCATTTGAGAAAAGATTACTGTATGATAAAAAAAAAAAAAACATGTTTAATTATCATTTGATACTTTTGTTTTTTGTCTGGAAGAGAAATCGAAATTATAATTTTAAGGCTAAGTAAAAAGCAATTCTAACTAATGCGCAAATACTTTCATTAATGTTTTTCGAACTTTTTTTTCCCCCAGAAGTATTTAATTAGCATTTTTTTGTTTAATTTAATTAATTTAATGTAATTTAAGCATGCAAAAGAATGTGGTAATAGTGCGATATGCTTTTTATCAATTGCAAATAAAGTAGTTATAATAATATTGGGTCAACTTGGAGCAATTTGGGGTCACCTGTATTTTGATATTCATGGTAATGCAAATTATCATGATCCAACGTTAGTTTTGAAATAATAACCTTTTTCTTTCTTTTTTTTTTTTTTTTTCAAATAAACACTAATTTTTAATAAATTGTATTATATTTCAATTAGGCATTCTTAAACTATTCTCAATCTTATAAATGAAAAGAATAGAATGAAATGAAGTGAAACGATGAAATACATTTAGGATGATTTTGATAAAAAAAATTTTTTTTTTTTTTAATTAAAAAATATTAATTGTTTACTGTATAAGTAAAACATTTTGCATGCTTGATCTTTTTTGTTTTTTGATCTTTGTTGACTTCAAATTTGATCTTTGTTCAAGCGAGTAAAATGTGATTTTTGTATGAATGATAATAATAAATTTTTAAAAATATATTTATATTTATTTAATTAATAAATTTTCAGACATATTGTGCCACTCTTTCTATCACAACAACATTTTCATAAACTTATCGAAGACTGGACATGGCAATCATTTACATTTATGTTCAAAAATCTTACAGATTTAATTGGTAGTCGAATGGTACGCAGTAATCATTTGCAATGATTATAATTTGATAAGATATCTCAATGAGTTTTAGGCTAATAATTAGCTATAGATTTGTAGTAATTTTTGGAATATTTTAACTGAACATTCAATTAAGCCATAAAATTATTTCATACTCGAGTAAAATGTGACACTTTTCTAAAATTGAGAAGAAAATTGAAGGGGGAAATGAACATTAGCAATAGGACCAAAGGAAATCGAATCCTTTTAATTAACAAATTTTGAAGTGTGCATAATATGCATTACATATGAGGTTCGATTTCAAAATGTATTCCTGAAGTTGTAGTTCAACAATTTACTATTGCATCATCACCTGGACAGCATAAGAGCTTTCTTCTGGATCATTAGTAATGTGACATTTATTGTTCATAATTCTTGCGAGTTTAATGATACATTTTAGCGTTTAACCTTTAACCTTTTAATGTTAAAGTTAGAAAGAATTTCATGAAGAGAGCAAAAATTCCTTTGACGAAATATACTTCTGGGATTTTAATTGGATCTCAAAAATTTTATTGTTTGTCCAAAATTTGATGTTTTGTATTTTGATTCTTTTTTTTGATTATCAATGAACTGTTAGCTTTAGTTTTATGAAATAAAAACGAAGAAATGTTTTAGCCTTATTTGCCAAACATTTAAAATCGTGCTTATTTGTTCAGCAGATTGACTTATTTGCAACAAAAAAAGTTAAACGACCGAAACAAATGTTTAAATTACTAAGTAAATATTTGACAAGGATTGTTTTTTTTTTTTTTC